ATGCAAACTGACTAAACGAGAGAAGATTAGATTAAATAGATAGATTGTGAGTCCAAGCAATGTCCAAAAATCAGAGGCGATACCAGGGTTCGAACCTGGGTTTCGGGAAACAATACAAGATCAAAATCCCGAGTGATAACCACTACACTATATCGCCATGCACACGAGGATCTTGTTTTCCCTTATTAAGTCTTACCACGCTGCGGATGTTTCGCATTGAACTAAAATAGCGGCTGTTTCCATCCATCATCCCAGTCCGACAACACAAGTTCCGTCAAGACTCTGTCGCTTCATCCACCATGACCCGGAACAGTGACGAGTCGTTTGCGGCGCTCGTCGACACTGCAAACCCGGCAGCTTCTGCGTACCGCCAACAGCACTCCAACAACCCATACATCCATTCACATTTACATACTAATACGTCTATTTATCCGCCCTCCCAGCAGCCAAATTTCATGGATCCTTTCTTTGATGACGACGACGACCAAGTCGATGCTCCTCACTCTACTTTTCCCATGTATTCCGCTTCCCAGCCAATGCATTCCCAGGAGAGCGGGCTCCCTCTTACCCGCTCTTCTGCACCCCCCGCTGGCATAGGAGCATCTTCAGTGTCCCTTGCAACCACAACCAACGGTCAACCACAAGGATGGGCATTTGACGATGACGCTATGTCGCCCACGTTCTCAGCCAGGCCTTCCTTCCCTAGCGAGCCATCCATAATACCGTCACGCCCGCAGAAGCGACGCAGAAGGTGGAAATGGCCCTGGCAAAGGGAGAAGAATCTTGCTGGAGAACGCATAATTGCCCTCAACAACCAACCTATGAATGACGGATATTGCTCCAATTTCGTGTCCACGAGCAAGTACAACCTGGTCATGTTTCTTCCTAAATTTCTTACTGGTATGTGTCGTCTGGGATGGCGTGCTGAACGTGGCACCAGCTAATGCATCATTGTGGCAGAACAATTTTCGAAATACGCCAATTTGTTCTTTTTGTTTACTGCATGCATTCAGCAGATTCCTGGTGTATCGCCTACAAACCAGTACACCACCATTGTACCACTGGCTGTGGTCCTCCTTGCGTCCGCATTCAAGGAAGTTCAAGAAGACCTTGTGCGTCATCCGCTTATTTGCAGGCTTATTCTTATCTCGCCTTAGAAACGACACCAATCCGATTCAGAACTCAACGCCCGACTCGGCAAGGCGCTGTCCGGTAATACCTTCGTCGCGCGGAAGTGGAAGGATATATGCGTGGGTGACATCGTGCGCGTAGAATCAGATGAATTCATTCCGGCTGATCTTGTCCTGATATCGTCGAGTGAGCCTGAAGGATTATGTTACATCGAGACGTCGAATCTCGACGGGTGCGTCCTTCTTTCCCCTTCCCGTCCATCCCTGACAAATTCTCCTCAGTGAGACTAACCTCAAAATCAAACAAGCTTCCCCACAAACTTCCTCACTTACTTCCCCATCTCTTGCAAGTACTCTGCATGGCAAGTTGCGGTCAGAGCAGCCGAACAACGCGTTATACACGTATGATGGCACGCTAGAACTGTTGAGCGACGTGAATGTCCCGAAGACAGTGCCGCTGGGTTCAGATCAGATGTTATTGAGGGGCGCGCAGTTAAGGAACACGCCGTGGGTGTATGGAATTGTGGTGTTCACGGGCCATGAGACGAAGCTAATGCAAAATGCAACGTGAGTAGTTCGAACTTGTTCCATCCATCCTTGTAGTGCTTGCATTTCCCGATCTAATCTGTTTTCCCCCGGATTTTGATATTTCTCGTGTAGCGCAGCACCCATCAAGCGTACGGCTGTTGAGCGCCAAGTAAACATCCACATTATCTTTCTCTTCGTCTTCCTCCTTGCTCTTTCAGTCGGGAGTACGATCGGCGCCAGCATCAATACGGTGTGTTCTATCTACTTGTGCGGGGTAGGGCATTAACAGAACTTTGTAGTGGTTCTTGTCCGGTCAGCAATGGTATCTAGCGGAGCCAAGTACATTCACTGGGAAAGGTGCGTACCTCATTTCCGAGTTGCCTACTCCGCACGTTGACTGATCACGCCTGAGCAGCAAAAGCATTTATCGAAGGTCGGCCGCTTCCATCCGCTCACTTTCATCCGCTCACTCTCCTTAGACATTCTCACCTTCATCATCCTCTACAATAATCTCATCCCCATTTCACTTATTGTCACCATGGAAGTCGTCAAATTTCAACAATCCCAACTCATTAACGCCGATTTGGACATGTACTATGCTCCCTCAGATACTCCCGCCCTTTGCAGGACTAGCGCGCTCGTGGAGGAACTCGGACAGATCGAGTTCGTGTTTAGCGATAAGACGGGGACGCTGACGAGGAATGAAATGGAGTTCAAGAAGTGCTCTGTTGCGGGGGATGCATATGCAGATGTAGCTGAGGAGGGAGGGGATGACGGGGAGGGGACGAAGACGTTTGAAGAGTTAAGAGGAGTCCTGTATGGTGACCCAGAGGGACAGGTCAGTACGGCGGCAATTGGGGATAGGGAGGCAGAGGCGGCGAGGGAGTTTATGACATTGCTGGCGGTGTGCCATACGGTGATACCAGAGGTGAGGGATGGAAAGACGCGTTATCAAGCGAGTAGCCCGGACGAGGCAGCGCTGGTGGCAGGGGCGGAGATTTTGGGGTATCAGTTCCACGTGAGTCGTTTTTTCCTCGTCATTTTCAACATCGTCTCCGACCCCTTCCATCTCCCATCACACTGCATATTGATCCTTGTACAGACTCGCAAACCCCGCTCCGTCTTTATCTCCATCAACAACGTCCCTGTGGAGTACGAAGTCTTGAATATCTGCGAGTTCAACTCAACGCGCAAACGTATGTCGACTGTTGTACGTACGCCCACCGGCTCGATCAAGCTTTACTGCAAGGGTGCAGACACTGTCATCGTCGAGCGTCTTGCCAAGTCGCAGCCTTACACCCAGAAGACACTTGTCCATCTTGAGGTCCGTTCTTTTTCCTTCGCTGTACTGCTGGTGAGTGTCGTGATCACCTAACCAACGCACAGGAATATGCAACCGAAGGACTGCGCACGCTTTGCGTGGCCTACCGCGATGTCCCGGAGGTTGAGTACCGCCAGTGGGCCACCATATATGAGCAGGCGGCTGCAACCATCAACGGGCGTGCGGAGGCCCTCGACCGTGCTGCGGAGTTGATCGAGAAGGATATGTTTTTGTTAGGGGCAACAGCTATCGAAGATAAGCTCCAGGATGGCGTTCCGGATACGATACATACGTTGCAAATGGCTGGGATCAAGGCGCGTCTCTCGAGGATATCTTTCATTGCGCGTATATCCTGATGAGACATGCAGATCTGGGTGCTTACAGGTGATAGGCAAGAGACTGCGATCAATATTGGCATGTCGTGTCGATTGATCTCAGAGTCTATGAACTTGGCGCGTTGTGAATGCAGTATCATTAATCATGTGCTGATACTGTGCCCCTGCCCTACAGGTCATCGTGAACGAGGAGAATGCGCGCAACACTGGAGATTTTATCCAGAAACGACTTTCTGCGATCAAAAATCAACGGAGTACGGGAGAGCTTGAAGACCTCGCACTAGTTATAGGTTAGCATTGTGTTGAACCACACCGCCCTTCAACAAACCTCCCTCCTTTGCAGACGGCAAAAGCCTAGGCTTCGCACTCGAGAAAGAGCTCTCGAAGTCATTCTTGGAGCTCGCGCTCATGTGTCGCGCAGTCATCTGTTGCAGGGTATCTCCGCTTCAGAAAGCCCTCGTCGTCAAACTCGTCAAGAAGAACCAGAAGAGCATCCTCTTGGCGATCGGCGACGGTGCGAACGATGTGGCCATGATTCAGGCAGCCCATGTGGGCGTCGGAATTTCTGGCGTTGAGGTATGTCTGGGTTGGTGCGAGGCATTGTGGTTGCATTTGTGCTGAGCACGATTGGTCAAGGGCCTACAAGCTGCACGTTCCGCGGATGTGGCAATTTCACAGTTCAGGTATCTCAAGAAACTATTACTGGTTCATGGTGCATGGAGTTATCAGAGATTGTCGAAGCTCATCCTTTGTACGCATCTTTGATTTTCCCATTTAGTAGTACATCATCCTTCCTCTTCCAGACTCATTTTACAAGAATATCACGCTCTACATGACGCAGTTTTGGGTGCGGATCTGCTTCCTCATCCCTTGAACGTAACATCCGGCTGACCACATCTTCGTAGTACTCTTTTTTCAATAACTTCTCAGGGCAGATTGCGTATGAATCATGGACGATATCATTTTACAATGTCATTTTTACCGTTCTCCCCCCTCTGGTCATCGGCGTCTTTGATCAGTTCGTATCTGCACGGATATTAGACCGGTACCCGCAACTATATGCCCTTGGGCAAAAGAATGTCTTCTTCACGAAGACAGCGTTCTGGCTTTGGGTCGGCAATGCGCTGTACCACAGTCTTGTGAGTGGCATGTCGAACGATGAGGGTTTGTTGACGGTGACGAGTGAATAAAATTGTGTTTTTAGATCTTGTTTGCGTTTACTGTGATTTTGTTCTGGGGAGATCTGAAACAGTCGACGGGGTTAGACTCCGGGCATTGGTTCTGGGGTGCGATGCTTTACCTGGCTGTCTTGCTTACTGTCCTTGGCAAGGCCGCTTTAGTTTCTGAGTACGTGCCACTTACCCTGTTCGACCCTCATCTTACTGATGTGGATTAGTTTATGGACAAAATACACTGTTGCTGGTGAGCCCATATCGTTCTCCACGAATCACATCATCCACTATTCTCTGACATCTTTTCCCTAGCGATTCCCGGCTCATTCATTTTCACCATGCTTTTCCTTCCCTTGTATGCTGTTGTTGCTCCTGCCATTGGATTCTCTACCGAGTATTACGGACTGGTCCCCCGACTATGGACCGACGCCGTGTTTTATTTTGTCCTTCTCCTCGTTCCCATTGTCTGTCTGAGTCGCGATTTTATTTGGAAATAGTGAGTAGTACATACCCACTCGAGTGGGATGACGCTTGACGTCTTTTATACAGCTATCGGCGAACATATATCCCCCTCCCATATCACATCGCTCAAGAGCTACAGAAGTACAACATTCCTGATTACCGTCCGCGGCAAGAACAGTTCGTGTCACTGGCAATGTGTTCTATCAACT